ATATATATGTACACACAAAGCTTGTGTTGTCTTCTTCTTGTGAGGTGGTGCCAACTTAACGGCAGCTCTGTGTTCTCCCTCCTCACAGGGACCGCCTGTTTTCTCTGAGTAACCCTCCACCCCGTGCCCCCTCCCACCACGGCTGGCAATAAGACAAGGTCAATATGACAGTCTTTTCTCTCGTCTCTTTTTCTCCCTTTATCTCCCTCCCTCTCCTTTTCTCTCTGTGTTCCTGTGTTCTAGCGCAAGTAAGTGACAAGCTCCACCCTACAGCTTTTATCTTTTGCGGCTCCATCCGAGAGAGAGAGAGAGAAACAGAAAAAGAGAGCAGAGAGACAGATGCAAAGGGACAGATGGAGGGCAACTGAGATGGCGACAGACAGAGTTGAGCATGATGCTGTAAAATGGAGTAGCACTAAACTCTTGATTTAAATTTGTTGGCACATCTGATGTGTGCGATCTGTTGGAAACAAGCTTCAGAAAGATCTGGAGCTGATTCCTCTTTTCATTTGGCGAAAACACACTGAAGCAGCAAGGGCTAATAAATGTGCTGTGGACAAACGCAATCATACAGCGTATCTGTCGCCTTGGAAAGAATGAGCCTACGAGAGGATCTCAATTAATGGTGAAGGTCAGGGCGATACTCACTACACACTCTTCTGTCCTGTATCAATACTGACATTTAGAATCAATTAAAAAATAGCAAAGCTCACTGTGACTGACAGCACCATTCATTGAGACCTGAGCAAACAAGGAGCAAGGCCACTGTAATCAATTGGATGCAGTAAAAGAGAGAGAGGCCATGTTAAGGTAGATACTATTCAGGATGGCTACTGATTATTACAACGTTTACCAACTAAATAGACACAGTGAGGCTATTTCGTAAAAGCATCTAAGGTCAGAATAAGTCTTTATTTCACCAAATGTAACCTCAAACCTAAAACATTTCCAAATTACATAAGGCTCCCTCATAAGAAAAAACAGCCACGCTACATATGAATTGAATTAGTGCTGGCAACATCTCCACAACACCACAGAGAAGGTAAACACTTACAGGCCAAACTTTTTTTCTCTCCCCCCTCTCTCTTTTCCTGCATGTATAAGATGGAGAATGTCTTATATAATGTAAGCGTCACTTATGAAGCTGGGGGCTCATGGAAAGTGGGAGACGAAAGCGCGAGGGAGGGACGAAAAGAAAGAGGGAACAGAAGCGGAGTTAAAAAAGGAGGAGGAGATGGAGTCCCAGGGAGTCGGGGATGGAGGGGAAGAGGGAGAGAGGAGGGGGTGAAGGGGGCAAAGTCTGGAAGCTAGCTGACAGGACTGGATATGCCCAGACAGGGAGCCAGGCCCAGGCCCAGACTTGAGAGCCTTATTTGAGTCTCAGAAATGCCTCACCCGTCTCTCCCTCATTCCCTTCTTTTTTTTAAAAAAAACCCCCACCATCAATCCCTCTCCCCAGTCTTTCCTATCTATCTATCTATCTATCCCTTCCCAGCATGTTATTTCTCACCCATACTTACACGCAGAGCCCCTCTTGTCCGACTCCTCCCTTTCTTTACTCTTCAAACAAGCAAATACACACATACATACCTCAGTCATACTGAACTGCTGTAGTGCTATTGAGGTTATACTAGAAAATCCAGGGTGTTGGCCAAGCAAGTAAATAATAATACAAACCAGCTGTGTCTCCACTTAAACCGCATTGCTGTGAGCATATTACTGTACAGCTCACAGCTCCTTGAACTGAGACCCCAGATATCGAAAGGTTCCAGCTAGATCCAAGTATGCAATCATCTATAAGTGAAATATTTAAGGTGGAAACGAACCCAAAACGGACTTTGTAAAAGCAGGTTTCCCTCTATTCCCTCCACCCCTTCTCTGACAGCTCCTTTACATTGCTGTTATTCTTACAAGTCTTGGCTTTACTCCTGTATTCTTTCTTTAACTTTTCCTCTTTCAGTGCGCCCTGCCCCAGACATGGTCTGCGTATTGTCTGAAGGGCTCTGCAAGCTGAAATTCTCTCACGATAGCAACACTGAGCAGAGAGCGCAGAAGGAGCATTAAAGAGAATGAGAAGAGGTAGGGTGGGGTAGCTGGAGTGAGGCACTGAGTTGTCTGTGTTTATTTTGGAAATGCAGGCCTGCAGACTTGCAGCAGAGGAACTGACCCCTAAACTTCACCATGGCGGATCCTCGAAGAAAGAGTAAGAGTCCTGTGTGCATTTGGGATGTCCCACGCGGGTGATTTTAAAAAGGGCAGACCATATATTCCCCCAAGGGGTCATTTTAACCCACCCTGGGGACCCAGAAATGGTCTGCTACAGGAGGAAACAGTGAGGCCGTGAGGTGATTAGTGGTTACAGTTTAACTGGAGAAAAATGCACGGCCCGTGAGCCCAGCCAGCCAGGGAGCAAAGCGGTATGCACTGGTCTCCTTCAGTTTGCAAGTTGGTGTGAGTCAAGCTCTGTATGCGCTTTATCTATTCTTAATGTATGTGTCCAGGAGTCGGGCCATCACCCCACACAGCCACATCACACTGCAGCACTCCAAAGTATGAGTGTATCACTCCACTGCTGCACACATGGCAATGATTACTGATAAAATATTTAGTGGAAAAAATGCACAGAGTTGGACTGTAATGATATGAGAGCTGAGAGAGTCATCTGCCGTCTGCTGTCATTTGAAAGTTGAACTTAAGTTCAGCTATTGAATCAGCTCTATTTTAATGAGTCACGTTGACGTCTTCAGCCTTGTGGCTCCTATGATTTCTACGGGAATACCAAACAGTCATTATCACCTGCAAAATAACCAAGAATTTGCCAAGAACCTTGAATTAATTATAAAGTAAGGAGGTGAAGTTAGCAATAACAGGTGGCTTGTGAACCTTAATGATATTCATTTGTTGGTAATGAAAGGCACATTTTTCATATTGTCATGAACACTGTAATGCATCACAGTGTTTGTTTAACTAACATTCAAGTAAATATGATTTTTTTTATGGGGTTTTAAAATAATTTATCCAAATCTGATGGATACCACATCCTCTCTCCAGCTAATTTTACATGGCTTCATAATTGACTACATCATGCGTCTCCTCTGACATTTTAAGCCCAATCAAAGGTCAAGAACTGGGACATGCAACTCAAGATTCAACATGACATAACCTAATGTTAGTCATATCCCATCTGTGGAGCACCCTCGTGGATGAATCAGAACACTGTCTGATTATAAATCTGATTAGCATTAATTGCTACAGAGTTATTGTGTACAAGTGTAACCCCCCAGAAAGGACACATCTGTCATGGGAATCTAAAATAAAGTGGCTCTTATCCCTGTGAAGATAAATGAAAGTGTGTATCAGGTGCCTGGTTTTCACTGTGTGCTGCCACATTCACTGACCACTATAATCTTCCCTCCCCTGCTGCTCAGTTGCCTTTCAGCTTGACCGTAATCCCCAGCAGCTATGGAACCCCACTGTGATATCAATTCAAACACTCTCCCAGCGTAGTTTGTGCCACTTACATTCACTCCCACATACTGGTAGCAGTCATAGTCCTCCAGAGTTTTTCCCCTCCACTGGCAAACATATTTTAACGGCCCGACAACACTGCGTTAAAAACACAACCTAGTCCCATCACCTTGGATTTCAGACGAGAGTTCTCACAATGTAAGAATCGACTGAACGTGCTTCTCTTTATATCTGATGCGGTACACTTTTTATTAGCCTGGTTTAAGGCATTAAGTACAAGTGCACTGTGGGTTCCCACCATCCCTCTACCACAAGCCTTGTGGTTGCTCTCTGACGCAGGAATATGCCATTAGGGTCCACCTTTTCCACCATAAAGCAGCTGCCTTTCCCTCACACAGTTTTGGTACCTTAGGGGTATGATCTCACACAGTTGTGGTGTGTGGCAAAATCTCAAGGCACAGGAAAACAGGGGAGGGGAGGTGACAACCACACCCGTGATTCGATTTCAGAGACTGGCATGAGGAAAAGCCTTCATGGTATATCCATCCTTTGGCATACGAATTACAGCAGATGAAGCAAGTTGGTGTCAAACTTAGACCAAAACTCTGTGCAAGCTGTTGCTCCCAGCAGCTGTCCAAGAATCTACATCTGGCCAAGCATGCAGTCAGGATGAGAAAATGTACAGCAAAAAAAAAAAAAAAGCTGCCAATGCAAACACACACACACACACACACACATCCTGTAAGTGTGGAATGCCACCACAGGGATGCACAGCTGGACCACAGTAGACATCTGGCTTTATGGTGGAGCTGAGAGCCTTTTCTCTGCAGTGACTAAGTGCTGTGTAAGAGAGGCATCGCCTGAATAACCAGTGTGCCGATGCTGATAGATGCCTCTCCGTCTGGCCATCAGATGGATGTTATGGTTGACCTGCAGCTGAACTGATCATCAGCTGATTGGATAAACAATGCGGGGAGCAGGCTGTGGATGTGAGGAGCACCTGTGCTCACAGTTCAGAGAGGGGTTATGGATTAAATAGCAGGGGCCTGGAAGAGGGAGGGAGGAGAGGGAGTCAAAGTCCTCCCACTGCACAAAGCCTGCACGGCCTCTTTCACTGCTCCTCTTCCCCACATACTTTGAGAGAGGTCCAGTGGGCCCACAGCCAGACCTCCTCCAGTCTCATATGATATCTGTGTGACAGTTTCTCTCATGCGCCCACACGTTATAGTGTTCACTGACTGTACAGTACCTCACAGTCACCTTGGAAATATACAGCCGTCCTCTGATCCAGAATACAACAGCAGCCCCCTGAGTGTGCCTCGATCTGCATTGTGGCCTAATGCTTTTTAATGATCAGGCCTTATTCCACTCCAGCACAGGGCTTGTTAGGTCCGCCTTGGCAGGGCTCTGCTCTTTCCCCTGGCATCTTCTGGAACAATGGGCCCATGGGAGGCAGCCAATGGGGAGAAGGTCCATCCCAAACCCAGTCCCAGTGTGCACACAATTAGATTCAGGGACAGTGGAATTGCTTAATTGGAGGAAAATAGCTCTTTATCTAGGCCTCTATGGCTGTGCTCATCCTTGCCCCCTGCACTACATGCTTGGCCTCAACTAACTTAAAATTGGTCTAAACAATGGTGATAAAATGATGTAACCAGTTCTAATTTCTACTTAATATGTGAACCGAAAAGAGGTAGACTTATCTATATATATGCTGTTGTGACCAGGAACACAGACAGAAGGAAAACTACACACAAAAAAACAAACATACAGCACTTTCTGACATAGAAAAACATTTGGTAACGTGAAATAATAGCGTACTTAGTCTTTTATGTGGATATAGTAAATCTGAAAATCAACCAGATTTTTAGGGGGTGTTTATCTCATGTGGCGGTCACAGTTTAATAGCCACCTTTTTATTTACCAATACATCACTCGTTCAAGTGACTGGGAGCAGCCTGTAGACGTTGAACTCTTTATCAGATGTTGTGACAGAACATCAGAGAGCTCGGTACGAGACTGCATCTTGCACAACAGCTGGCTGAGCCGTGATGTACGCCCCTATATAGGGCAGGATTTGTGATACTGCTCTAAAAATGTCTCTCAGGGTTGAGGAGGGGGGGGTGGACGCTGGTTTAACAGAGGATGTAGACGTGCGGAAAGGGTTAAAAGAGGTACTGACACTGCGTCCGCGTAAATGGCACAAACGCCGGCAAAAGCACGTCCGCCACCGGCCTTGAATGTGACAGTGCGGGAAGTCCGGGCTGCAGGATATGGGCGCACCGCTGGAGAGTCTCTGAAAATAGGTCACTACCCTGTTTGAACCCGTGCGGTTTTTCACATTGTAGCGGCGCACTCGGGCCAACGTGGACACAACATGACAGCCGACACAAAACACAAGACTTGACATGCAAGACTGGGGGTCGCCCCTGGCTTACCTTACAGGGAAAAATGCCGCGGATATGGCCGAGATATCTCCGACTTGGCCCCCCTCTTCCCGGTGCAAACTTCGCACGCAAAGTCCTATGGGCTCAAGCGGCGACGGTGTCAAATGACTCCCTCGTCAATTCGTCGCTTTTTCTCCGATAAAAACCAAATGCAGAGCTGATGCGTCTTGAAAAAGAGATTACTATGTGTCTGGAGAGGCGGTCCGTTCCCAGACCATTGTCAGGATTATTTCTAAGCATGGAAAAACCAAACATACGAGCTCAGAAACGCAAACGCGTGTGTGACAGCCGGTTATTTGAAATAAAGACTAATCTATGGAATGACAGCCTGGTCTGTTGCCGTGGGATGATATATTCAGCATGTTATCACGCCACTGGAAACCCGTCAAAAAAGTGTAAACACCCAAATCCGTAGCCTTAACTGTTCCCGCTGAGGAAAAAAGCGAAGAAGCACTGGTTGTGTTTGTACATCAAAAAAACGCAACAAAAAAAAAAGGTGATTTCTTCCTAAATTCAAAGCGCATCGCTCAATGGCAACGCTGGTCAAGTGGGGGTTTCCTATGGGTGGTCGTGGTTCTCCTGGCGGGGTGGGAGGGCAGATTGAAAGCAGAGGGATGGCACGAAGTGGTGGGTAGGGTAGATAGGGCGGGTTGGCGTCGGGGTGTGGGGTAGAAGGGGAGGATCGTCTCCTTCTTCGGTGCTTTTCCAGATGCCGAGGTGGGGCTGTTTGCTTTTTCTTTTTCTCGCAGTTATCCCCGTGACTCTTGTTTTTTTTTTCTCTCT